GGGGCGATCCGTCCGGCCGTGTGAGAGAGTGAAATTAAGATCGTGACTGACTAATGTGCGTCTTACGTGACATCGGGAGAGAGACACGCTTCGAAAGGTCTAACCGCATCCTTGCGCCGGAGTTACGCGATTACGTAAGGAGAAAAGTGAGACACGCACGTACACACATGTCGAAGGAGTGAGAGAGAAGAGAGAGAGAAAGAGAGGGAGCGAGAAGTATCGAGGAACGGGACAGAGAAGTTGAGGAAATGTGTATCGCGCGATCGAGCGGTAACTCGTGTCAACTCTTATCACTCGCCGATTTTTCTGGAATTGTTACGAGCCAGTTGTACGTGTCGTTTGAAAAGAGAAAAAATAAACAGGAGAGAGACCAATAAAACGGGATTATAACGCTCGCTTTTATCCCCAAAAAACAAAAAAACAGGCTGATACTATTTGATTTTTTTATACTCTATACAGCAAGATCATGCAATAGCGCGTACGAAATTTGCAGCGCAACAATTATGTAATGCATAATTAAATTTCGTGATTTGTAATTAAAATTTCGTGTTACCATAGTTGATTTTTTTCACATGCTCCAGTGTTTCTCCCGCGAGTGATAATGGCTTTTGCCGGGATTAACGAGACGATTGTGCGCGGTACAGAGAGTCCTGGAAATTACCCGTGAATTTCTGCGTAATTCATTTCTTATACCTGAATACGACGCTAATTCAGGCACAACGAGCGTTCTGTTGGACGCGTATCTGCTCGGAACAAATGCGAATTTTCCATTATCGCGCGCGCAACGCCACGCGGCGCGGCGCGGCGCGGCGCGGCGCGGCGCGGCGCGGCGCGGCGCATCAATCGAACACGGAGCGGAGTGAAAGCCAATCGCGGGCATTGTGCGCGCGAAATGAAAAGCACATTGAAGATTGCGCGAAATTACGTAAAAGAAATTCATCTTCGCGCGCGCACGCGTGGCGTCGCGCCGTCGAAGCGTCGTCGCGTCGCGCGGTCAGCAGCCCGTGCGGGACGCAGAAGTCTCAAGATTAATTATTTTCCTACGTTCGCGCGCGTTTTACCCAACTTCCACGCGATTGCGCAAGCGAGTAATGTCAATGGGAAGAGAGGCCTGGGCCTCCGAGGAATGCGGGACGATCTTTCATTCGACAGCCTTTCATCGCACAATTGAGATATTTCGGGATATCTTCGCTTATCTTTTAGATGCTTCAGTCGCTTGTGCAAAAAAAAAAAAAAGAAATAATAACGGTCAAAGATCAAAATATCATGAGAAATGATGGGAGACACAAAGTGACGCTATAAATGTTGAGAAGCAAGATGGGATATTAATCGCCGAGGCTATTGAAGCGCGCTCGAAGGTATTCCGCCAAACTGACGGCGATGTCAAAGATCTGCCGCGCGACAAGTCCTGGACGCACGAATAGCGACGTTAAATACACCTCTATATGTATACCTCGCGCGTCCGCGGCTATTTACTCTCGCGCGTTACATCGCATGCTTCGCAGTCGCGGCGACTTTCTTCGTGCGCGCCGACAAACGGGTCCCCGGCGCGGCGCGGCGGTGATCGATCCGCGTCCCCGACGTCTCTTCCCGGCGACTGTTTGACCCGTTTAATGTTTCAACCCGCAGCGATCGTTGGCCGCGCGGCTCTTTTTTTTTGTTTTAACTCTCCCGCGGTCTTTCGCCAGTCGTGGGCCGGGAATGCAAAACGGCCCGCTCTCCGCCATACGAAACGTTTCCCCGTAGCTTTCTACCCCTCTCGCGTTTGCTTTGCATTACGCGGGACAAACTTTATTGCCGCATTTAACGCCGCGCAGAGACTCCGACTCCTTCCTATATCCCATTCTGTTCCGGCGCTTGTACACAATTTCCTCTTTTTATTTCTTATGTAAGAGCCTTTTCTTCACCGTCATCCCGTGCGTTTTCAGCTCGAATATTGATCTCATCGTGTTACGGTTGAGAAATATAGAATGCTTATTTTTTTAGCGTTTCTTCCGCGATTCGATGTTTTTCTGTTGCGGTACTTCCTGAACGCGATTTTGTTACATGCGCCCAAACGCGCTCTGTATTCTGATCACATTAGAAATTTCATCTCGGGTCTGCAGTTGTGTCGGAGACTTGAGATTCACGTGGCGAGCGCAGAAGTGCCGGAAGACACGCGGAAACGCGGAGATCAAGCGGAGTGCAACGCGCGTACGTGTTAATTAAGGCAGAAACAGACTTCGGATGAAAGTCACGGCTACATAATGACGTGCTCCGCTTGCTTTTTCTGCGAATCTATCGCGTAACGCAATCGAGTTGCGGCGAGTCGGGCGCGCGCGCGTGCGGAGAAAGTGAACGAATAGATCAGTCCCTTTGCCAAAATTCTGTCGGAGAGATTAATTTTCTGTTGGCGATTTACAGAGATTAGCCGTATCGGCGCGATGTGGAATGCGTTTCTGAAGCGAAGAGAAATGGACCTTTTTCTCGCAAAAGAGGCACCGCTTCCTATCCTTATAATTTTATCGACGGCGGGATTAAGACGGGATTTATCGGCAAATTTGCATGCGGCGTGTACCTGGGAACGTCCTTGACGAACGGAAGCTCGTAAAACGCCGAGGATAGAGGTATCCCGCGGGCGGGCCGCGATAAAACGCGCGCAAACGGGTGATGAGACGACGATCGGCTCGGACGCGTCTCCCACGTGTCGCGACCGCGATGCATACATACGCTCGTCGCGCGGATATCCCACGGAGGCCGCATTCCGTCCGCGCGTCGTCGGCTCCTCAATAGACGGGTACTTTTTATGCGGAACGTGTAGAATCCGCAGATATATCGCTCCTGTCCCGCGCGCGGTGCGTCATCCGGGGCCGCATGCGAGTCCGCGCGGGCCTCGATTATTACGGCCCCGTATTCGCGTCCCATATCTAGCGCGAAGCGCGTGGGCGTTCGATTGCACCTTTTATTTGTCTAGCGTCGAGGAGCCGTATATACATATGTACGTGTTGCATGCAATCTGATTACGGCCCGAGAGCCAAGCCGGCCGCGGCAGTGCAGCGCGGCTCGGTAATAAATTTCACGACGCCACGCGGCAGATAATCGATAAGAATCTTCCCCTCGCGGTGGAGATTATACGGTTATTAACAAAGTACGCGAAGGAATTTTTACGTCAATCGCGAAATAGAAAGAAAAATCTTCGAAAGCAACTTCGCTTCTGTACACGAGAGCAACGATCGTGGATGAAAAAAAAACTCGAGATAATATATATTCAGTAAAATGTATGGAAAGCTAAGACAATAAAACCGCCAAGAAGGAGGAGTTGCGCAAATTATCGCAAATTCAAAACACGCTTTGTTCTCCTGCACTCTCTTGAATCCTATCAATCGCTTACGAAACGGCGCGCTGCAACCGCGCAGCAAAGGCGCCCATCATCCGGCCACCCCGGTAAATGCGCGCCTTGAGAGAGGATCTCGGGATTTACATTTTATACCTCGCGAACGCAGCTGGTGGTCTGACGAGGCGCATAACGCGCGATTTGCACAGAATGCCCGTATCATCCTCTCGCGTTCTCCGATTCTCGATCGGCCATCCGGCCGCCGATTATCGCCGGCGTCGGGCACTCTTCCACATCCGCGTCGTCCTCACGCGAATTTACGCTCCGCGGGCCGTGATCTCTCGCGCGCTAACGGCGTTAACCCGCGCTCTCGGCCCCCTTGGAAATTATTTCCATCCTTCAGGGGCCCGCCATAAACCGGCGTCCGGTATCACACGGACGTGAAAATATATGGCGGAATTTTTATCCTCGTACAACACTTCGCCAAGGTACTAATAACATCTGCGGAATTTGCGCTTCGGACACCTCTCAAGTTTCACGCGTGTTCTCCAATTTCCTCGGCTGGAAATATAAATTCCACGGTACCCCTCTTCAATTCTTGCGCGAACAGACTTCCCTTCTATTAATTTATCGGACATACGTTTCGTATATTTTATAAATTTATATCGCAGAATAAATATTAAATTTTAACATTTTTTTTATATGCATTTACACCCGTGTCTTTTTCTCAACGTCGATCCACAGCGCTGATTGCGCGAGGCGATTCATTCGCGATTCTCGCGGCGTGTCCCGTCGCTCGCTCGCGCGATTCATTTGCGATTCTTAAATCGTACCCGATCGCCACGCGCGTGTTTACATCTACGTAGGAAACACCTTGGTCTCGGCACGAAAACCCAGTTAGCGGACGAGCCGAGCTGAGCCGAGCCGAGCTGAGCCGAGCCGAGCTGAGCCGAGCCGAGCTGAGCCGAGCCGAGCCGGGCGTCTCTCTCTCTCTCTCGAGGACATCCTCGAGATCGCACGCACGCGAGTCGGAGTGTGCGTAATCCTCAGAAAACGCCGAGGAGGACCCGATCGTTATCGTGAGACGTCGAGTTTAATACATCCTGCCGCGGAGGATGATCTGCCGGGGAGGAAATGTCGCCTAGCTGCATACAAACACACGGAACTGAAATCGCGTCTCTCCGGCGATCGCGAATTAAGGATTAAGTAATCGGAAAAAGTAAAAAAAAGGCAAAGTAATGAGAGAAAATTTGATTTAATTTCCCTTCCTAAGCGAAATTATTATTTCGTCGTACGATTATCTCTTATGTTAGAGACATTCCGCGAAATTTAAAGATATAATCTACAGTAGTTTGAAATTCCACCCACTTTTCTTTGCTTTATTCGTAAATTAAAATATGTAAATTAAATTAAGTAGATGATGTATTTCATTTACATATGTATACATTATCATTTATATATGTTATTTATACTTAGATAATATATATTATGTATATGAATATATATATATATTATCTCTATATACATATTTAAATAATAATATATACAAATTAAATAATAAATGATGTTTATGCTCTATACTTTATTTTTCCAATTTTAAATTGGGGACGCTTATTATAATTTAATTTGAATATATGATGTAATTGTACTTTCGCTATCAAGATGATCGAAATATCGTGAAACTTACCCTGCAGCAAAAATCCATGCAGCGCGAGGTTCATGGCTACAATATGATTAATTTCTTCAGCCTGGAAAAAAAAGACATCGCTAAAGTCGGACGGTTGTTGCAAAATAAATCAAAAATTAAATTTCGCAATACATTAATTGTCGTTACAATCACGTATATAAATATTTCCATCGTATTTCCATCGAATTCATTTAAATATAAAGATTAAATGATGCGGAAATACTTTGCATACTCTTAATAGTCCGTAACAGATAGATAATAAAATTGTCTTACAAATGGAGAAAGCGCTTCGTATAATATCGAGTATATAACGTCGGAAGCACGACGTCAACGTCAAAACGCTAATGTTATTCTAACAATTTGCTCTCTCGGAGGGTAATAACGTAATAACTAGCCACGCTAATTGCTACTAAATCGCCCGGAGGCGTAAAGGAATTAACCGAGGCAAATAAACTCGTCCCGCCGCGCCGGTCACGCCGGTCTTTGTGTGCTCTTGCGGACGGTCACTTCGAAGGACGTGTGACATCTCTATCGTCAGTGTCAATATTTATCTGGAAGCACACCCGGCACGGGAAGATCGAGGAACAAGCGCCGTTCCAATACCGCGCGCGGCGGCGCCGCGCGTTTGGCGCGCGTCGATCTATCGGGCGCCCCGAGCCGCCAGCTAATTGCCCGTGTACTAATTAAGCATCAACTTGGGCAACTCCTCGAGCGAAAGTCCTTGGCGGAACAGTCAAGAACGCAATTTAAAGAGCGATTCTCGACCAGCGTTTCCGCGGCTTCATAATCTCATCGCGATCGGGCAAGAACTTCTTGCCTTACTACTTTTCCCCTTTTTTCCGCTTTAAAGTACTTCACGTTTATCTTGCCGCGACAAATCATAATTAATGATTTACTATTATAGTGTTAAGAACCTCGAAGAAAATTGATACAGGGCACAGATATTTAATTACTTTGCATTGGATGGATTTATATATGATAGACTCTTTTTGTGTATTTTATTTTTGTATTTCTTTGCTGTGTAATATCTAAAAATAAAAAAACACGACGGTTATTTAAGATATATTAGGTAGCTTCGTCGTTAGAAATCGTGCATTCGTTCAATGTACACTCTTATTTATTTTATTTTAAATGATGAATTATCGAACCTACCGTGGCTGCGAAGCCACGTGTATCGATTTCGTACGTGCGAAAAATGATAAATAAGATCGCCTCTGCATGCAGGGAGAGAAAGGGGAAGGGGGAATGTTCGAAAGTCCATCGGGAACAATGACCGGGCCACGTTGCAAGGGAAAATAATTCAGGTCGTGCAAGTTAACGTTATAACGGCCTGTCCGCTATCGACGAAGAAACGGCCGATGGGATTTCGCGACCCGAATTATTGCCGAACGGGATAATTGCACGGTCAGAAAAACTGCGGGTATTGAGAAAATGGGAGAAAATTAATGTGAATTTCGCCTTCGTGAACGGAGAAGATTTACTCGTTTACAATTCCTCCGATATTTTCGATGCCGAAATTCTTAATAAACACGCTTAAAACGTTTTTATTGTGTAACGTAACTTTCTCTTTGTTCCTCGCAAAAGATTGCAGTAGAGAAAAAAAATTTTTACTTCTAGCCACTATTGGCTAAAAGTTACTTTCATCAAGATTATTAGACTTTGACACGTTAACTCAGAAGCAATATTAATTATCGCATTGATGTTTTAAACCATCATGATTTATTATCATGATAGTTCAAGAAAAGTATTTATTTAGTTTCGTAACAAATTCTTTCCATCATGGTTATGTTATTATTTATATAATTACTTTTTATTTTATTTATCTTTTATACCTTTATACAGATAAAATTTATTATATATTTTTTACTATATAAATATTAAATATTGTATAAAAAAGGTAAAAAAATAAAATGAAATAACGTTTCCATTTTTAAGTTTCGCTATATTAAAACAATAGTTGCGACGTCGGAATTAATTTACAAGTAATCGCTCGCGATATTTGCATTTCCGCAATTATCTTCATTTTTCTTCGTGCGAAATCAAGCCTCGCGATCAAAGTGTATCAAAATTATAACGTTTGACGTATAATTACGTATCCGGCAACGTAAAAAGCTGAAAACAGCCGGAGACTGCCTAGATAAGGCACTCGTCGTTTGCAAAACGAGCGCGCGATATTTGGTAATCCCCATACAACTTGAATAGCTTCAAGGTCGCAGGTTGCACAAGTGCACAGCTGCGGCGGCTTGTGTGTGCACTTTATTGCGATGTAAAAGCGACGCGACGTTTATCGGATCCCGATTTATCATAACGAATCGTGCGGCTCACGGCGGCCGTTCGATAAATGGCGCCGATAACGCCGCGGTCCCGCGACCGGCGCGTTTTCCTCGGTACGTTTATGTGGCAGTTATGAATGATCAGCGCGATTCAATCATTCCACACGGGCCTGCTTTCCAACGCGCGCGGGGGCGTAATACATGCATACGCGATCGCGGTTTGTCAGGCCCATCGGTGGGCACGAGATATTCATTCCGCCGGGTAAAAAGGCGAGATGGATATCTTCGCCGCGTATTATACGTACGATCGTTAAGCCGAGAAAAATCGCGAGGCGATCTAACCACTCGGCTCTTAATCCGACCGCGGTGCAATGGTTGCGCCCGTCACTGGGAACGTAATGCAAATCAATTTAACAATCATCGAGGGGTACGTTTACAGCCGCGGCTGTAAACGTACACCGATTGACAATAATATATAACCGAGCGGGAATTTTCGAAAATATTTACAATTTTCTTGCCGGCATGAAGATTCTTTTATTACGCATCTCTGCGAGCGGTGTGCGGTAAATCGTGATGTTTTCGCTTTTACTGCGAATAATATCAAACGCGCGCGGTGCATTCCCCCTCCATCGTTCTGTATATTATTTCCAATAACGGAAATCACAGTGATATTCACGTATGAAGGCAATGCTCGTAAATCGGTATATTCGTCCTCACGGGGTGTTATTTCACATGCGCGCGATTCACAAGGCGTCTCCGCTCGTTTCGGCGCACTTTCCTCGCGTCTCTCGCGGACGGCGCGGGCGCGGTTCCGAAGAGGCGATTTTCACCTTACGTAAAACCGGCACATCGGGCCTGGCCGTGGCTCGTTTCCACGGCGAACGACTTTCCCCCCTCGCGATGCACGCGTGATGCGATTTATCGAAGACGACGGTGACCGCACCCTCGGCCGAGCCGGATCTCGCAACCGATCGGCGGCATTCTCAATCTTGTATTGCCCACAAAAAGCGATAATCTACAGTAAACACATCGTAAATATTGTTACAAATTGATAAATATTGATCTCAATATTACACTTATTTTTAATAACGTTATTTTAATAACGAGATTTAAAAATTTTTTAAATTATTTTAAATTTTAAAGTTATTTTAAAATTTGTTTTTTAATTAAAAACAATTCTTTTTGTATACTTTCACGATAATCACAATCGTTAAAATTTTACAGATATTGTTCGTACTTCATGTATATATGTCGGAAGATAATTAGTTCGAGAGGTAATAGATGAAATCCACAGTTTTATTGCACTGGAGGCAGGCGACTTTTGGCGTTAGTTGAATAGCGAGAAACCAGGAAGTTAGGCCGTTTTCTCGTTTCTAATTAATAGTCTTCGACTCGTCGGTTCTAATTTTACACGGAAGAAAGCGAATTCGAGAAATCGTCCGCTTCGGAGACGCGGCGTCGCGTTCCGCATACATTAACATCGCAGATTCCACCTTTCCTTCCGAAAGTATAGGAAATTCAAGGTCATGTGTTCGGACTGAACATTCTTTAAAACAAAACGCGATCGATTTTCCGATTTTCCAAGAATCGTATACGTCTTACGAGAGAACGAATGCGCTCGAGAAAAGAAAAAAACGCGATAAGCAATGATAATTTATAAATTTCATAAGAAAGAACGATTTTGCTGGAAAGTTTAAAAATTTTTCTGGATACAGATCTCAAAATTGTGTTGACCCACGAAAATAATTTTGTTGGAAACTCAAAAATGATGAGCATTTCTTTTGATATTTTAGCAATCAGTTTGAATTTCCAATAAAATTATTTTCGGATTTGTATCTAGCAAAATTTTTAGACCTTTCAGCAAAATTGTTTTTTCCGTGTAATTATGTAATTATTCCTCGTCGCATATAGTATGATAGTTGATCCTCGCGTTAAGTGCGCGCTCTCGTTGTCACTGTACGTCGCCGCATTTCTGCACCGTTACGATTAGAGAGACTTGTAATCTACGCGTTCGGATGCCACAGGATCGGAATAAATTATTCTTCACCGATTTCTCGGCGCGTAGCGAGAAGCTCGTAGAAATATCGAGCTCCGAAGATACATGTGCGTATATGTGTGAAGCCAAGTTTAAGCGATACTTTCTTTTTAATCTCTAATTACTAGATAGCATACAGTAAACACGCGTCACTTCTTTACAGTCGAATCTGGTAAACTTTCTAGCTTCAGAGAGATATTGATTTCACCGATACACGTTATATTTATATGACAAACGTGCGAATTTTTGTGTCGCGAATTTATCTTCCTCGTTTTGCACGTCCAGATAGTTCGAGCTTATATATTAAAAAAAAATATAATACACTCTCTCTCCAATCTCTAAAGATATATTAATGATCATGAGATTATTAATAATTGATGATCATGATTATTAATTGCTATCCTATTAACTATCCTACCAAGTATAACATGTGTTTTAATATCGAAGAGATCAAGGTTTTTATTACCCATTTCTATCGAGATAAATTAACAAGGAAGTAACTAAAATGCAAGAATTAAAGAGATTCCATTAGAAAATTTAAATATATAGACTTAATAATATACAAGGCTCTTAATTGAATATTAACATTATTAAAAAGCATGTGATTTTATCATTACATGTTTAATATGAGATAAAATGGATATTATAGATCTTTATACGTGTTATAAACAAACCGAAACAATTTTATTATGGCTCTACGTATCGTGTAAGATGCGTATTCTGGATACGTAAGTCTCGTGAGTGAACCTCTGGAAGAATTCCCGTACGTTAACTCGCGTCCTAATCGACGAGGCAATTGTCGTAGATCGATGGATCCTTCCATCACGCGTCATTTCCATTATTACATTACGATAGAGCACGGAGCATCCTCATTATCCGGCTTCGGATTGCCGAGTACACCGCTCGGCTGGGTAGCGCGCGAGCCGCGGTCGGACAATATCTCGCCATACGGAGATCGAAACTCTCGAATGATAATGACGATAATTCAACCGATTACATAAACGCCGCGCCGCGAAACAATGTGCATACTCTCTTTTGCG